TGAACCATGAACACTGAAGGAATCCTAACCGGGAGAAGCTGACTGCAATGATGGTGAAAACAACAACTCCCATGATCCCACGCTGCTTCACCACCTCATCTAACCTCCTCTTTTGATATTGTTTTGATGTGAGAAACCCTCCTAGTGGCAGAAACTACAGATTATATGTTGAAGTAAAAGATCAGAAACGTCTCTTTCTGTGGTGTTTAAAGTGTGAAGAGCAGCAGCAGCGTGTTGACTCAGACCTGCAGGTTAAAGGGTGACAGACCACACAGAGAGGACGACCACTTCATGGCCACACACACACACACACACACACACACACACACACACACTGAGTGTAATCTGACTCTCATTAGTCTGTGAGGGATTACTGTGATCTGCTCTCCGCTCATCACAACACCGACTGCTGTGTAACACACAACCAGCTGAGTGTGTTTACTGTGTTAAACTACACACAGAGGAAGTTCTAGTTCATCCTCAGTCACAATATAGTTTATATTATATACAATGTTCTGTTAAACTCCAGATGTTTACTGTAATAAATACGACACTATTACAGTAAAAGGATATTAGTACTGTGGATTTTATGGTTGTAAATTGGAGTTTTCTTTCATATTTTAGCGTATAAATAAAAGTTTTTACCATCAACAGAACCCGTTTTGCCACATGAGATATGATGGTAGTTTTTTGTGCAATTTACAGTAAAAAAAACTGACTTTATTCTGTATAAATTCCTTTAAAAATACCGTATAAATAAAGCAATTCTTTATTAAACCGTGAGAAATGGCGGAGTTTAAACTGTATTTAACCTATTGAGAGTTGTATTATTGTATTATTTAGATATATTGATGATGTATAAGATGAGACTTTATGTAGAAGCAGATAAATTAACATACTGTTTAATAAATTGAACCCATTTGTGAGTTTTTTCTTATCCCAATATTTTTAATCTTTAAGCAAAATTCCCTAAATAAGCAATAAAAAGTGAAATCGTCATCATCTCCACTGATTAATAAGGGATCAGTGGATCAATAGTATTTATTTATCCCACAAATGTAATAATCCAATCATTATAATTACTCTAAAACATTTAATCTCATCTGATTATATGATATTTATGTCTTTTTTATGCGTCTATGAGAAGAGTTAAAGTAATAAAACGTGTGAAAGATTGTTTGTCCTCTCGTTATAAACCTGATTTAAAACGTAAAAAAAGACTTTATTCTTGTAATCTAAAATAAAAACGAACCACACAAACTCTTTGGGGGGCTCGCTGTGTTTTTAAAGAGCTCGTCTTCAAAGGAGGTTTACAGGGAGGACGACACACACACACACACACACACACGCACACAGACACACACACAGACACACACACACACTTAAGTTACTTCTACTTTGAGTATTTCCATTTTATGCGTCTTTATACTTTTTCTCCACCACAAATATTCTACAGCTTTTATATTTCAGATTATTTTGTTTATGTTTACTTTTACTCCCCTTAAAGTAAATGAACGATTTATAAACATACAACATTTAACAAACATTTAAACTCTGGTTCCTCCTGCTGCTCCTGATTGGATAAGGATCAATCGGCCCGAACGACAACAACCAATCAGAGCAGAGGAAGATATTGATTGTTGTGTCTCATTCTCAGGGCGACAAATACAGACGGACTCAATAATCAATATTATTCAACCCTCCAACCCAGTAAAGTTTATCTTTATGGATGATATTGATCAGAATACACTGTATGTTTATGGATTATTGATCAGAATACACTATCTTTATGGATTATTGATCAGTATACACTGTATCTTTATGGATTATTGATCAGAATACACTGTATCTTTATGGATTATTGATCAGAATACACTGTATCTTTATCGATGATATTGATCAGAATACACTGTATCTTTATGGATGATATTGATCAGTATACACTGTATCTTTATGGTTGATATTGATCAGTAGACACTGTATCTTTATGGATGATATTGATCCTGTATTGACAGTCAGACTGTGGACATATGACGGCCTTTAGCTCGTGTTTCTAGAGTTACGTGTTGTTACTAACACATTAGGAATTGTTAGAATGTGATATTTCTTAAAGGGAGTTTGGTGCAGGGAGCTTTTAGTTGGATTCAAACTGCTGATATGGATCATTGTTAACGTTTAGTCTCCACTACAGAAACACTAGCTGACTGCTGAAGGCTGATCAGCTTGTCTGACATTGACTGCTGTTAGTTAATAGTCTGATTAATGCTTTAATAATGTATGTATTGATTACTGACGCTGGCTGATCAGGATCATTACCAGCTGATTTCACTCAGTTTCTAACTGCAGTGTGCTGTAAATGGCCCTTTGTGTGTGTTTTTAACCTGCTCTCCTAATTAAACATGACGTGTTTGTTATTAATGGTTTTATTTAAAGACTCCTGATGAAACTGAGTCAGACTGGTTGTGAAAGATCTTTGAGTGAAAACAAACATCGACTTTAAGACTCCAGATTAAGTGGAATTAGTGTGAACATGATCTGATGACTTTTAAAGTTTTCTAGTGACAAATACTTTAATGTTTCACTGGTTGCTGTTATTACCACTTGTGGCCACAGGGGGCGCTGTTCAGCAGAAGTCACAAAGGTCACCACAGGTCACTGTTTGAGGGAGTTTCTTCAGTTTTTGGGAAAGTGTGAACCACATTTAATTTACTACTTTACATATTTAGACCCAAACATAATCAGATTTGTTCACTTTAATAACTCTAATATCTACATAACCGCAGCTCTATGAGGATGTTTGTTGCAGTGAAAGCTGATCCGACGGGACTGTAACGCTTCACATTATTCTGGTTTTAACCTGCCGTCCAGAGAGGAACACTTCCCTCCCACATGAGCTCATCAGTCTTCTGAAGAACAACAGCGTCCACAACAGAGGATATTTTCCACTGGCAGACTCACCAGAACCGACGCCGCTCAAACACACTCTGGCATTTTTTAGTTTTTTCAGGCTGCCATTAGCCTCTTGGCTCGCGGTTCGACTCTGCGTTATGGAGTTTATCCCTATCAGCACCTGCCCGCCTGCCAAAATCTGCCCCCCCACCACCCACCCCGGCCCCAAACAAAGGTCTTTAAGTAGCAGAGGGTCGGGGCAGGACGGACACATGAAAGTTGGAGAGCGCTGGTGGCTCTCAGAGAGGCGAAACACGAGCTCGTGTTTTTCCAAAACAAAATTATGGAAGAGAGAAAAAAACCCCGGAGAATAAAAGTGAGTGTGTGGAGGAAGTCGAACCAGTTGGCTGTCAGCTCCATTTGGCTCCTGTCACACTCTCTCCATTTCTCATAGAGAGCCATAAGGAAGGCCTCAGCATGACCAGTTCCCAGAATGCCCCTCTGCAGTTCCCAACGGCAGCCATTCATCTCTTCCCTCCTCCTCCTCCTCCTCACCGCTCCCCTGAGCCCTCATTTAAACCCATTTAAACCCCTCCGATGTGACCGGGATCGAGTGTCCCGTGCAGCTCCGACGGGGCAGAGCAAGGCACTGCTGAGGTCGAGGGTTTGAGTCCCACTTTAAAAACTGCTGCAAGGTGCTTCACGCCGGATACATGTTCAACATGAGTCCAGTTCTCTCATTGTTAGTATTTATTCATTACACTGCTTTTCCTTAATGGACCCTTTTGTATCATTTAATAAACATATTTTATTAATATTTCATATTATATTAAAACTGTACAATGAACCCAAACAGTGAACTCTGCAGGACGTTTGTGTAAAACCAGAGATTTGGATGAATTTTGAGCAGATTATTTCCTGTTTAGGGAACTTTTTATATAATTCTCTGTCTGTATTCTGTATTTTCATATTATTTAACAATCATTCATACATAAATCTTCTATTTGACAAAAATACATGTTACAATACAATACAATACAATACAAGGGGATACCCTTCAGCTGCTCTGTCAAAACAAAGGCAATAAAAACTTCCAAAAAGTTTATATATAGAGTTTAGAGTTTATTGTTGTAATAAAATGTTCCTGTCATTTTAAAATACAGTAAAATTTGTTAAATCTATTTAGAAAAACATTGGAATTAATTTTTTTTAAAGCTCAGTAAACAGTTTCCTGATGAGTTTCTGGTCTCAGTCTCTAGTTTCAGTCTTCTTCCATACAGCATGATGTTCATTTAGTAACTGATGGTCCCATTTAGAGTAAAACAGACCATAAAGCAGGGTATGCTTTAGGGCGGGGCTACCTTGTGATTGACAGCTCATTCTCAGTGACCAAACTCAGACTGAGAAATGTATGGAAGCCCATTTATGCCAATATGATGGAGGAAAAAGGGATTCTGTAAGTGATTATAATGAGAAACCTTCTCTAAATATTTATAATACTGCTTTTATATTTTATATTTCTTTATAAAACAAGGTCCTATTTCAGTTGGTTGATACTTTGAACTGTTTATATCATTAAAATGTTTGAGTTTCAGCCTCGTAAAGCTCCACCTGCTGCAGTCAGTGCCCGTCGCTCGGCTCTCTGGCAGCTGAATACCTCAAATGTTCTGTAATGGTGTTTCAGGCTCTTAATCAGACATCAGCCTCAGAGAACCACAGTGAGAGCTTTTCTTCTCCCCGGGTCAGTGGATTTAGACAAACCGCAGGATGTAATCCTGTTTTCCACTCACAGACGAAGCTGTGAACCCGGCGAATCTTGGCCCTCTAAGTAGCCGAGGCGCCGTCCTGCTCTCCGCGGCCCGGCACTCAGCCAGGGCAGGGTGGGGGGTCCCCGGGCTCGAACCTACCAGGAACAGCAGGAACAAGACCCATCAGGGTATCTGAGAGTGTTAGAGAGAGAGAGAGAGAGAGCAGTGTGGGGTCCAAATGATGAAAGAGAAGAAGAAGCTGTGGCTCAACTGCTGGAATACAGAAAGTTTTTGCCATTAAAGGTTTCATAATGTGAGATTCTGAATCATTTTACATTTTATTTCTATGTATTATTTATTGTTTATCAGCAGAGAGTGAACGGGTTGTAGTGTAGCTTTGTCCCTCTGCTGCCTGTGGACTGATCTCTATGTGTCTCTATGTAGGATGAGGGTCAAAGGTTGTGACCTTTATGCTCCCGAGTGCCAACAGTGGGCAACACAGAGTCCAACACAGAGTCCACAACACAGAGTCCAACACAGAGTCCACAACACAGAGTCCAACACAGAGTCCAACACAGAGTCCAACACAGAGTCCACAACACAGAGTCCACAACACAGAGTCCACAAACGCAACACAGAGTCCAACACAGAGTCCAACACAGAGTCAACACAGAGAAAACAGAGTCACAACACAGAGTCCACAACACAGAGTCCCAACACAGAGTCCAACACAGAGTCCAACACAGAGTCCAACACAGAGTCCACAACATAGAGTCCACAACACAGAGTCCACAACACAGAGTCCAACACAGAGTCCACAACACAGAGTCCACAACACAGAGTCCACAACACAGAGTCTACAACACAGAGTCTAACACAGAGTCCAACACGAGTCCAACAACCAACACAGAGTCCAACACAGAGTCCAACACAGAGTCAACACAGAGTCCACAACACAGAGTCCAACACAGAGTCCAACACAGAGTCCAAACTAACACAGAGTCACAACACAGAGTCCACAACACAAGAGTCCACAACACAGAGTCCACAACACAGAGTCCAACACAGAGTCCACAACACAGAGTCCCAACACAGAGTCCAACACAGAGTCCAACACAGAGTCCACAACACAGAGTCTAAAAAGAGTCCAACACAGAGTCTCAACACAGAGTCCCAACCAGACACAGAGTCCAACACAGAGTCCACAACACAGAGTTCCAACACAGAGTCCCCAACACAGAGTCCACAACACAGAGTAAACAGAGTCAACACAAGGTCACAAACCAGAGTCAACAAGCAACACAGAGTCCAACACAGAGTCCACAACACAGAGTCCACAACACAGAGTCCAACACAGAGTCCACAACACAGAGTCCACAACACAGAGTCCAACACAGAGTCCAACACAGAGTCCACAACACAGAGTCCAACACAGAGTCCAACACAGAGTCCAAAGTCAAAGCTAACATTACTGCAAAGCTCGTGGAACATATTATTATATTGTGCTTTTAGCTGGATAACATTATATAGGAACATTGCAGATAGTAACGTTATTCTAAATATGATTGATACTGAACCTGTTCACACATAAACTACAGACTGACAGAAGGAAATCTTCTGTTAACAGGTGGACTTTCGGTTCTATATAAACACTGGATGTTACGACCAGCAGCCGGTTTCAGGTTTAATATCAAACCTGCTGAAGCTCTCGTTCGCTGCACCTCGGGGGGCCGCGGGCCGGGCGGGGCCGCAGGGTACGGTGGCGGTAACCTGAGCGGGCGTGGAGAATCAGACTGCACGCTCAGGTGTGTTTACAATGATTCAGGTTTCTCCAGATTTCATCTGCAGTGCAGGCTGACAGCTGGAGGCAAAACAGAGGAGAGTTTTACCTTCAAACACTCACTAGTGCTAATTAAGGAGAGTTTACAGAGATTACGGAGAAGCCCATGATTAAAATACAATTACTGAGATAGTAAGTGATAAACATTTGACTATATAAGTCAAACAAATGCACAAAGTCACAGGAATGTACTGGTGGTTTAGGGGTTAATGTGTCAGTAGATCCTGCATCCTCAAATTTGCAATAAAAAGAAGAAATACTTGTTGTTGATCAGTAAATTATAGTAATAATTATAATATAGTTATATAGTTATAGCATTAGAGAGCAAAAGGAAATCAGGAAGTCATTTTAAAGATCCAGAAGAAACTTCTCTCTCTCGTACATATTTATTATGGATGTTTATTCTCTGATGATCCGTCGTCTCCACGAACCTCCATCACTTTTGTACCGTAACAGACAGTAAGATACGCTAATTATTGTAACTTTATTATGATATATTAGATTATTTACCACTGTGAATATGTCTGCAGCTGAAACTGTCAGAGAAAACCATGTTTCTTTCTTTCTTTCTTTCTATCTTTCTTTCTGTCTTTCTTTATTTTTGCAGCACACAATTAAATGTAACTGAGTTAGCTGACAGCTAATTAGCATCTGTTGTTTCCCTGTGCAAGTAAATAAAAAACAACTACAGAACGGTAAATAAATACATCAAATATCCATCAGTGTGAGATAATAAATAGAATCAATATGATAATGAAGAGTCTGTTCCAATCAGTGCTTACATACAATATACAATCCTTCATTAGGAATGATTAGGGAACTTGTTAACGATTCATTAACTGATCAGTTCATTAGTTCCTCGTTTGTTTCCAGCTTCTCAAAATGTTGTGTCTGTTACACTGTTCTTTTATTTATTTTGTAATCATTATTTTATTATTTTAAAGATTTGATATATTTATATATTTATAGTATAAAACTGGAGCCTTCCTGCATTATTTCCACCCTCCAGCTCCCAGACTTTCGCCCTCGTACTCCGCCGGTGTTTTGGGTTCCCAGGGCGGCTGTGGAGAGATTGGTCTACCACATTGAGTCTGATGTAGAAAACAAGACTTCCAGGTCGCTGCGTCCCGTTCGGTAACATGGCAGGATCGTTTGTCCCCCCCGTGGGAGTTTCCCCCCGGGTCACTTCCCTCAGGGTCCCTCAGGCTGGCTGCTGTCCCCTCCAGCAGGGTCCTCCACCCTGCAGTGTCCCCCGGCCTGCAGCCTGCTGGGGGGGTGGAGGGTGGACGCAGTGTCAGAGGTGGAAGTGGATGAAGTTTCCAGATGCTCCACCAGTGTTTGCACTGCTGACACTGCAGCTCCGCTCTCTATGTGCGCACTTAAGTCCACGATTTACGGTTTATTGTGTTGACTTCAGGACATCCCGCAGTCCCACAGTCCCACAGTCACCTGAACCTCACAGATCCACCATCAGTTCATCTCTTCATTAATGTTGGACCTCTAGCTCAGACCATGAACCATAATGCTGCCGCATCCCTCCTTCCCTTGTCAGTGGTGTAGTAGCAGATAGATAATAATAAGAATATTACTTATATCTGATACGAACCAAATGATATATGTGTTTAGAATCTAATCGATCTGATGGTGTTCGGTTTGTTCTTATTGATAAAAGTTTAAACACGGGAACATATAATACCAAACTCCCTTTAAGAAACACAACATTTTAACAGTTCCTAACGTGTCTGTAAAACACAAAATACCTCTAGAATACGTCCACACTGTCAATTCAATATCAATATAATCCATTAACAGACAAACTGTGCATTTAGGATTTATTCTCCTATCTTGTCAGTCTCTGTTGGTTCGTGTGTTATTTTACTGGGAGAAGACTGTAGAATGAGAGGCCGATTGTTTTATAAACAGATGATTTCTCAATAAAATAAGAGCTTTTTGGTGGATCGATATACGCAGAATTAAACACAGACTCATTCAGTATCTGTGTGATACCATAGTAACTACACGATTCGCCGGTTGCTGTTTTTATAGATCTGAATATTTTCTTGTGAAGAAGATTTTGAAGTTTGTGAGTACGCAGTGATTTAGGATGGAAGCATAATGGAAATCTTAGGATATTCAAACTGTAGAAACACGGCGGTTCAACATGACGGACTCTGTAGAAGAGGACCAGCTCATTCAGGTCATTATACACTAATGAAAAACATCTATCTATCTATCTATCTATCTATCTATCTATCTATCTATCTATCTATCTATCTATCTATCTATCTATCTATCTATCCTGTTCTGAAGTTGGCCAGTGTTTGTGCTGCTCTGTGACCTTTGACCTGCTGACTGGGGGTCATTGTCTCAGTACGACAGGTGTCTGTCCATCTGTGAAAGACATAACAGCTCTGACTCACTGCGAGTGCAGGAAACTTTACTGTTTACAGCCTCAACTCATCCTCATATAGACGGACAGATAATATATTTTTTATATTTGTAAAATTCACATAGATACAACCAAAACATTACAAAACAAACAAACAAACAAATAAACAGATAAATAAGTTACTATGTAAATAAATCAAGTTTAATGCTACAGAGACATTTTGTTCTTCATTAAACATTAACAATAATAAATAATAATATAATAAATAATAATAATAGTTTTCTCAAGTATTTTTTTACTTCAGGACATATTTGAGGTATTTTACTTTTAGACTTTATGCCACTTTATACTTCAAATCCACCACATTTTAGAGAGACAAATACATTTTACCTTCTACCCAACACTATAATAAGTTGTTAAAATAAGCTCTACCTTTAAAATTTTAAAATGCTTCTTGCATAATTAGTAATATTCCACTAATATATAAAATAATATATAAAAAACACTGATTGGTACTCTTATTTCTGATACATTAAGTACTTTTAGCTGCTAATATTTCTGCACTTTTAAAAATTTTTTTGAATGTATGACTTTTACTTTAACTTTACATTTATTTATTTTTATTCATTTTAAGGTGGCATTGCTTTTTTTGTCCAATAACAGTTGCCACCATCTTTCCCTTCAGTTTCATTGAGTTCTTTAAACGGGTGAAACAGCGCCTCTCTGGGTTGTAACGGCAGGTACATGTAAGTTAATGCGAGCGGTCGAACAGGGTATTGCACCCCCCGCGGTGGAGTGATCATCGGAAGACGGCGGTGGTATTATTACCTGTTGATTATTAAAGGGCTCCTTCCGTGGCGGAATGATCTGATAACGGCGTTTTGCTCGAGGTGGTTGACTGGGGTGGTGTTTTTGGTGTGGTTGACTGGGGCTGGTGTTTTTGGGTCTGATGGTTGACTGGGGCTGGTGTTTCTGGGTCGTGATTGACTGGGGCTGTGTTTACTGGGTCTGATGGTTGACGGGGCGGTGTTTTCTGGCTGTGTTGGGGATGTTTTGGTGTTTTTAATGTTTAACTTTGGGTTTAAAATATTGTTTCTAAATATCTATAACGAATAATGAGAAAGACCCATTTCAGAATATTATATATTATTGGATTATAATGATTGATGCATTAAAGGGTGGTAAAGTTATTAGACGACATCATTTATTTTTTAACTATATATTCAGGGTTCCTACACATCCTGGAAAAACCTGGAAAAGTTGCAAATCTAGAGACTAAGTTTTCAGGTCATGGAAACAACCTGGAAATTAATTGAAATGACCAAAAATCCTAAAATAATCTATGTTGTCCTGGAATTTACTGTATTTAAGTATCATGTAGCACAACATAGAGTACAACTGGATTCCTATACAGTGTGGAAAAAAACATGGAATTAGATTTGAGTAATTTCCAGGTCTGGGTAACTATGGAAAAAAGAAAAGGCAGTATAGATACAATATTTATGTTTCCAGATTATTGCACTTATCATGTTTTCTAAGTATAATATTTACATATTTATGAATTTCCCAATGTAAATATTAACGTCTGATTGATCAGCCAGCTAAACTAATCCACATATCTGTGACCAGGTTAGTTTCAAAATGTGGCAATATCTTTGATTGGCATTTAAATCAATAACATCACAAATGATCAAATATTTTCATGTTTTTCTGCGCGAGGAAACCTTTACTGCTGCGTTCACTGTTGTTGCCATGGAAACAGTGAGTAAACAAGGCTGCACAAACGCTGTAATAGCAAACAACAGTTATTTACATGACAAACATTTAGATATTTGTACTCGGATGTCACACACAATATGTAGGAACGCTGTCAGTCATACTTTAAGTACAGTACTTAGTTACT